GCAGGACTTGAAATAAAAGCTTTTTTTTCAGATTACAGTAACTTTATTATGTACAAAAGTCAATTATAAAATATTTCCTTTTGGCAAATACGGAATCAGTGAGGACGATAAATTATAAATACGGTACACATTTACAGAAACGTCATTCCTTGATCCTCCGTACTTCTGTCTCAAACGGCAAAGCGACTTCGTCGTCACTACGTTCGCATAGTAACCTTTGCTACTATTGGGTACAGTACATAAGATGGAGTAGTCATGTGATGAGTATGGGGTTGTTGGCATTGCAGGGGTAAGGATATTGTGTCACTTTCTCCATTAATAAAACTGTGTGGGTGGTGGTCATTTGCAGCTATTCTGTATAATACATAAATATTCTCACACCAGCGGAGTGAGTGAAACTAAATTGCAAGCCAGCAATATTCCTGCAGAGAAATTACCACCATTCATTTTCTTCATCATCTTTGCACTCATATTACCCTGATAGTCCTCAATTTGTGAAAAAGTTATTGTGGCATTTTTCTACTGGAATACTCTATTATCACCAGGGAGTGGCATATGAAGGGTCGGTGTACGAGACGCGGGGCTATTCTATGGTACGGAACTTTTACGATGGGATCGGCAACTGTGCTCGTCGGAGATGTGTTTCGTTATGACTCGTACCACTTTTCCTCCTCGCATAAGGAGTACAACTTGAAGCCACACTGAAACCATGACTTGGCACACATCAACAGATCTCATCACTGCTTAATTACTCACTTATACAGTGGTTAGGATTCGTGGTGTGAGAACTCATTTGCCGAAAAAAAATTGTAGGTCGTCGTCAAAATACATTTATGGGCCAAAATGAGAACAGAGCTGGAGACAAACAAATTGTATTTCATCCTACAATTTGCAACAACAACCTTTTCTGAACACTAATGTTACTCTAAACCAGTAATGTGTTTACATTCTAAGTTATGGGTAGGATTGTTGAGGGTCAGTATATTATGGAACACTAAGGATCTGGCACTGAGGGACTTTGATGAGAGCAGAGGGGGAAGGGGGTTGTAAGTACATATTCCCGGGGCCGAACACAAGTCCGAGCAGAAGTCGCCAACTACCTCGTGGTGAAATACGACAAACTCTTAAGTTGCACATTTCAACTTGAAATGGGTATTGCCACAGTAGTCAGTCAAAGGCTTCAACTCTTTGATGTGTGTAAGACTAGTCCACTGTTGGTATTATTACTAATTTATTTGCTATAGACTTGTGATATGGTGAAAGGAGCACTAAGACATTACCCTAATGGAGATGATTCGAGTTCAATCAGTAAGTACAGAGTAGGGGTGTAACCCACATGTGCATATTTCATTCACATTATTGTTCATTGTGCTTACACAGTGTTCAATGAAACCAAATACTTTTGATAAACAGTTTGGTAAACGAACTCATTAATATATACAGGGGGATCTAAAGGTCCCTGTGCACCTAGAATAATTAACAACATAGTTATTTACCTTGTACGACTTATAACGACGTAGGTACAACGAGGTACAATTAAATAGGTCATTATTGCAGGTGCACAAGGACTTTCTGATCACCCGGTAGTATCCCAAACCATACATTAACATGGGATTTATCATAATAACAAAACATATGTTAACTTTATATGCAGTTAACAACACATTCAGCAGTACAGTATACAGTACCTTATCAGCTGCCCACACTTGTTTTTTTTTTAATAACAACGGTCTATTAATGAAAATTCTTCATCAATTTAACTGTTAAAACAATGCAAAACTATTAAAAAATTATCTACCAAAATGGAAGGTGTACATTAAATATTGGCAGTGATATAAAAATGTTGCATTGATGTGAGAATTGAGAACCAAAATTAAGAATCAAGCAATCTGGATGATGTTCAGCCATCTCTCTCCTTCTTCATCCATGAACATAGTCACAGGATCAACTCTTCCAATAATCAGAAATCGCATATGAAGGAAAAAATTGGGGGCATTATGGAACATGGACATATTTCTAATTCAGCCTTAATTAAAAGAAAAAGCACTATGTGAAAAATAGACCTACATACAACCACTACTGCTGCTATGGCATAGTACAGTTACCAGTGACACAAGATACTATGTACAGTCCTCTAAAGTGGTTCACTGATATGGGTACATTCAAGATAAAACTTTGAGTGTACTGTACATTAACTGGTCGAGTCGTGTAGAAGCACTTCACGCGACCACGACACGGGTTATCACGCGAAGGATTGTATACCTATTATTTTTCTCTACGATGTACATTATGCTGCCACACACGGCAAACATCATCATCTAGACCCGGTCAAAATTCAGGCATTGGCATGAACAGCAATACGGGAGAAGTGTTTTATACGTTTGAAAGAGTGTGATTTATCAAAACTGAATAATACATTCGGTCAAAAAATAAAAATAAAAAATAAAGTTTGTGGTGAGATGCATGCTACAATATTTGTATTATACCTATAAGTACACTGTTAGCTTAAATCATCATGTACTGTACTAGAAAATTTCTAATTGTACCATTTACAAAATTGTTTATATTACTGTTACTGCCTTTATTATCAAATCTGTTAACCTCCAAGTCCTAGTAACCTTTAACATGTTCCCTATAATTTATATAATTTTCTAACAATTTCAATTTACAAAAGGCACTTGGAACAACACCAAAATATTATTACATGGCAAGAGAGTGGTTGAAACAAACATGAAGCTTTGTGCTCTGCCTCTAAGTCATGGAAATAAAAGAGGCAGTACTCACTTATATTGCTGTGTTCATTAATGAGTCTAGTCTCACTTTGCAAAAAGAGTATTAAAACATTACTGGTTATAATGCCCCCTCTCCTTAAAACAGAAAAAAAATTTATATATATATATATATATATATATATATATATATATATATATATATATATATATATATATATATATATATATATATATATATATATATATATATATATATATATATATATATATAAAGCAGCATCCATCCTATTATTGCCTGGCAATTTGAAACTTGTCTGTTAAGGTTATTGTCACTAAACATTTTGTGGTTCAAAGTGGCATGTTATGGCAGCTACAGAACAGGTCAAGTTCAGTACTGAAAAATGTAAGAAATTCTTGCGATTGTTACATCCTTGGGTCCAATGCCGGGTCATATACTGTGATCGTGTAGTATTTAACAGTCTCAAGTTGCATGAAATTTTGCCTGTAAATTGCATTTAAGTTTGTCTGTTCTTTGACCACCTGAACTTGCCTTAGTAGTAAAGGATCCACCTGAGAGTTCCCATTTGCCTCCTTACCCCCGCATTCTCTTTAACACAATGGAATAAGACATGTTGCGGCAGATCCTAATCCTCAAGAGATGCACACTCACAGATGAATCCCACAAGATTCTCCTACATATTATCTACAGTTTAACACAATAATGTATCAGACACACCCAAGATTGTCACACAGCATCTGAAACAACTAAGTGCTACCCTTAAGGATATAGGCTCTCCCTTATAGCTTACTGTGTTTGACCCACTTGTCATGAATTCATCTCCTCTGATAACAGCATTCCGTCAGTCACTATATACAAAGCACTGTTTACCTATTTACTTGACAAGAAGAAAATAATGTTAAACATAAAGGACAAATATCCATGGCCAAAGGCTATCACATACAGTGGTAAATGATTTTTTTTTTTTCTTCCATGTGATGGGGCAGCCAACTATATGCTTTGTAATAAAAAAAAATCTCAAACAATATCATATTAATACTCTCAGTCATGTCAACTTTATATTTAATTTTGCCTATACGTATACTGTATAAATAATATGAGGCCACAGGGGTAAGAGGGGCAAATCAGCTAAGATCGTGTTTCAAGCTATGAACGGTTTGTTTTTGTGCACGTTAGAGTGTATGTATCTCTGTAATGCACCAGGTGAATTGAATGAAACTGGTTTAAAATAATGGGAAATTTTGTGTACTCTCAGACTATGTTACATTTTTTTTTGTGTGTGTCAGTTAGCTGTAAGTCTAAGTTGATTGATTCACCCCTCTTTCCCTGAGTACCTAAGTATCTGTTTACTGCATGAAGAATTTGACTGCACCACCACAACAACACTGTCGACTACTGCACTTACATACAGTACTAGTGCCGACTGCTTATCACACGCACACGCCACTCACGCTGAAGTGCTCCCATCAACCTAAACATGAGACCATTAAGGAACCTTACATTCCCATACATAAAGTTTATACAATCTAAGAATCTCTTATCATACACAGGAGCTGCCTCATAAATATTTTCCATCCAGGAGAGTCAGTGGCAATGTTCACACCAGTTAAGAGTATTGTACCAGTGCCCCCACCTCTTAGGCTCACCTCACAAGTCATAATGATACACAGTGCTACTATGTCCGAGGTAATTTGAGAACATCACATTTTACTTTCTAGTTTTAAACATCAACACATGAGATACTGAATGATAAGTAATTTTAACAGTTGCAATAAAAGATTAGCACAATCTAACTACTGTAGAGTGAATATGCCATATACTTAACAGGAATGATAGTGACACTTAATTATAATATTTAATGAAGCTTAGGTTTTCAGTTTAGCCATGTGATGTTAATGAATGATTCTTGTTCAAAAAAAAAAATTATATACGTATACTGTATACAGTATATATATCTTGATAAAATCACACGGGAAAAGGGAAACAACGGAGCACCTTAGCTTTCGTCTTTATTCAAGACTCTGAAGGTGTCTTGAATAAAGACGAAAGCTAAGGTGCTCCGTTGTTTCCCTTTTCCCGTGTGATTTTATCAAGATTTATCTTATCCACGTTTTCATTGTGGATCTACATGATATATATATATATATATATATATATATATATATATATATATATATATATATATATATATATATATATATATATATATATATATATATATATATATATATATATATATATATATATATATATATATTAAAAATAAAAGGTTTACATACTATCTTTATGGAAAGCATTAATGGCTCTTGTCATTTGAGTTGCCACAAAACTATGCACAGATAAAGCCTGCCATAAATGTCATTGTTGCAGGATATCTGATACAGTATAATAAAAAAGCAAAATAGTACAGTGTAATGCAAGATACACTTGACAAAGATGGAGGAAGCCATGAAGCTTTAGCTTGAAATAAAACTAGTATTGTTCAAATTTGACTTCAAACATCACATGCAATTATAGTAAATTTGCTTATCATGTGAAGTAGAAATTCCAGCTGAAACCATCCAAGCAAACAAAACTAAGTTTGAGAATGACAAACAATTGGCAACTAATGAATTCATAAGAACTCTAAGAATGAAATCTAACTATTCAAAGAGCTTTGATAAAACATACTCAAAGCTGACCTGCAGTGGCACAAATTGTCAGAGAGGTTTACCCATAATACATACATTAAATAACGAACCTATATACAAATACTAAAGCATACACAGATGATGATGATGATAATAATGAAAAATGATCCAGATGAACAAGGCATGGATGAATACAAAAGTACCATGAAGGATGGTTACTGACTCCCCTGGGGCAAAAGCTCTGGTAATGATCCATGTTACTTTAATACACTTATAAACATTCCACATCAGTCTGGCTCATACAAATGTAAACTAATCCAACTCACCCTGTGGCCATACATACATTATAAACACATGAACACATTCATACATACAAAAAAAAAACTTCCAGGAGCAGATAAATCACGAGTCGTCGTCGCAACACACACGTCACTCACTCGGGGTGAAAATAAAAAGTTGGACAATACAGTGTTCTTGACTTACAAAACACTTCAAGATCTACATGTGATGGTTTCCAAGAAATACATCAGATATTTGTCCAAAAGGTATGCGCACCACATGTACATATAAATAAGGTATATACAGGGCTATACCCTATTGTGTGAATATGAACACCTTTGACAAGTCCACTGTGCAATACATTCACTAGCTTTCAATATTTATGTGAATGAAACTCCTCTTCAACTTCTCCAGCTAAACCAAAGTATCCATCACAATTACTGGTGCCAAGACCACACTAGACCGTCTTTGCGACGACTTCCCGCCCTTTCTTCGCGATATTTTTTTAACCTCGACTCTTCTAATCTTGAGGAAGTTCCTCTCTTCTTCAATGTTATCGCCAGACAATAGTCATAAATCTACATTAATTCCACCAGTGACATACTTTATTCTGTATTACCAATGTCTAAACAATGCTGATAAGACTATTTTACTGGTCTTAGGAATGTGTGGCGAGGAGCCTTGTAGCCGTGAACGGAAGAAAGAGGGAGAGGAATGCTGTGATGAAGGACACCCTGGCTGACCCTGGAGATGAGTTCAGGGTTAGTTCTTCATTCTTAACTACTTCATTTTCACTACGGTCTGGCTGGTGTGTGTCTGTAAAAGATAATTATACATAAGTCATGATGTAATTAATTAAATCCTTCAGCATTCAACCCAAGAATTTGTCTACTGATGTAACAACTGACAGTAAAGGCACTGCTGTCAAATTAACTAATTTCATAATTTTCATTAACATGTCAATATCTGGAATCGTTTGGTGCATTAAGCAGACTGCAATTGCCATTTCCATTATCACTTCTAAGCATTTCCTGTCCACTATTATATGGTACCTATAGTAAAAATTTACTTAGCTTTAGACAGTACAGTACAGTACAAATTTTTAAATTGCATGTCCAATTGCTATTACTTAGAAACATATTTTAGAACAAATTTCACCTACAGGTTAAGTATACTGCATTTTGAACTAATTCATATACTGTAATGTATTTAGATGCTGTAGCTCAAATGCATATAGCTAATACATTCTGAAATGTTTATTTAAATTCATGATATTGGTTGTGCTTCGAAATTCAGTACAAAAATAAATTCAGAAAGATTGCATTTGCTGTACTGTGATGTAGAGCAGATATGTTGGGAGCAGCACAGTACTGTACAGGCAGACCCAGGTTTATGAGAGGGCTCTGTTCCTGGAATGCCTTTCAGAAATCACATTTTCATTAATTGAAGCACAGTTTCCTATAAACTCTTATTATAAAAGCCGAGATACCCGCTATATTCCTACAAGGTAAGTTTTAAAATACCACAAAACATGTTATTAAATGTTTGTTTTTGTGTGTGTCTGTGTGCACAATGATTATAAGCCAATAATAAGCATTTAAGTACAGTAATAATTTATACAGGTAGAGTGCTGTATTTAAAGAGAAACCAGATGAAATTTGTAACAGAGTGAACAGAATGGAACAGTAAACCAACATGTATAATAATTATGTTACATAGTGTGGTAATACAGTACAAAGACCTTTATTATATAATTAAGAGATACTTTCTGCACAAAAAAACAACGACAACTATCCCACGCTGGACCCCCGATAAGTTATTTTGTTATCCTAAATTCCCGCCGCTTTGTTTACGAGGGATGAACGCTATCTCGGCCATCATCTAATGCACCACTCGCCCTCCCTCGTTGCATTGTTGACATTCTCCACACCTCCAAACATTTCATCACCTCCAAATTCCACACTCACTCTTACATCTCTACACCTTAATTGGAAATAATCAGCATATAAAATTTAAGAAAATACAGTAGAATTGGACAAACTGTGGTGGAGTGAGTGACAAGTCTACCTGTCCTCACAAGAGTCTGAGAAGTAAGGTATATGGTGATTGTAGGAGAAAGATGACACACTGAAAGCTTATTTTTGTAGACTTAACCCTTTCACAGCGGGAGGTTACCCAAAGCTGAATAAAATGTCTGGTGGTAGCCAGAATAAAATGGCAAATGCGTAACACACGGCGAAAGGGTGAATAACATTGCGAGTGTTAGAGAATAATTACATAAATTAGTGAAATAAGCAGGAGTATTGGTAGTAAAAAAAATACTAATGTTAATATTTTAATAATGTCAGGATTTTTAACTGTAAATCAAAACTTGGATTTTCTTTTGTAACTGCGAATTTTCATAAATCAAATCTTCGTAAATCAGGGTCTGCCTATACTGTACTGTAGACTGAAGTTACAAATCAATGATTCACAAATTTGTACAGAACAATACATAAGTTTCTAACAGTGGTGGGCGGTAGTGAAGTAACTTTACTATATTACTCTCCAGCTCTGGTTTCTAATACTGTATAACCTAGGAAGGAACCTGTAGTTTTTTATGGCTCCTAATGCCTACAACAAACAAATACATTTCTCTTCATACCTGGCACAGCACAGAATAGTATCTTTGACTCTTCACTTTCATAAAACAAAAGCTGGATGAACTAAGAGGAACAATGTAAGTAGCAATGACAATTTTCTGTTCTGGGAAAAAAAAAGTTTCTGTTTTAAGCCTTTAAGTGAAGCTGGGTCTATTCCTTCCTGTGTTGATAGCTATAACCTTTAACTCTGGTGATGTGGAGTATCAAGTCTTGGCATACAGAATTATGACATCCAAATGAATGTCTTTTATTTGGTGTTCAAAAACACAAACTCGGACTGATAACCACTGTACCAAAACGCCAAGATTAAATGCATTTTAGTTTTAACTGTAACAAAATTGTGGAATAATGTAATAAAACATAGTTATATATCTTATGGTCAGGTAGGCCCATAAATAAGTAAAAAAAAAAAAAAAAATAGGACACTGAAAATAGGTTTGAGGAACAAAAGTTTTAAAACCAAGTTCAAATCTGTTGAGGTTTCGGCCGGTGGCGATAAAGTCGGCGAGGATGGACGACCACCGGGCAAATACTCACCTGTTTTCTTGGTGGTGGTCTTGATGGTGTGAGGGTCAGCACTCTTGTGAGAGGTGGTCTTTAGGGAAGTGGTGCTGAGGGAGGTGGTGGTAGTGGAAGTGGTGGTGGTCTTAGGGGTAGTAGTGGTGGTAGTAGACTTGGTGGTGGAGGTGGTAGTAGTGGTGGTGCCTCTAGTGGCTGGCAGGCCTGCAATGAGATACACAAAATACACCACGGCTAAGCATCTAGCGACTAGAAGAGGATTTTTGTAGTGTTCTATAATCTACATTTGACCAAACTGCTTTAAGCATCCCAGAATCCAATTTTACTATATTGTATCTTATATCGTACAGTCAGGAAAGACCAAGGGACTTTTCGAAGAACCACGATAATCAACAGTAACGAGACTTTAAGCTTTCAATTTTTTTTTTCCTTTTAAATTTGATAAAGTAGCAAACTGCTAATAAAGCAGTTGGGAGACATAGATACCTCTGATGACTACTGTGCTGATCCAAAACTTTGTGTGCACCATATAATGCAAATAAAACAAGAACTTGCAACAATGATAAGAGAGATGTTAGTTAGGTACAGTAGTACTTTAACTGCAAACAAAAGGCAATATCTTAATGTTTTTATCACCTTTATCTGAGTCTTTGAATTGCTTAAGTTTTGTGATAATGTGAAGAATGTGACGACCGGTCAGGCTACGAAGGACAGTTTCTTCGGAGTTCCTTTACCGCTTAATCTCAGTGTAAGACTATTTCTATGAGAGCGGTGAAACACTACAAACAAATTACAATACTGTACTGTACTGATGAACTTTTGCTAATGTGAAATAGCTTAAAGGGACTATACAGTAACCATTTAGTTATGATCCATTTGACTACTTGAGACTAGATTTAGGAACTATCAAGAAAAGACTAACTAGTATGTATGAGTCTTGTTTACATATCAAGAGAAGCATAAGCAAATCAATTGGCACGAAAAGGAGCAAACACCTGTTGTCGCTAAATAACTAGGAGTGGCTCACTAGACATAAGCAAGATGTGAGAGAATGCATAGCCAAACAAAATATACACAATCAAACTCATAAGGGGGGCGAGGGACATAAATCTTCATCCAGATGTTAATCTATAGAACAAGCAATGCATAAGAAATGTGAAAGTGCAGACTGGGTTTGGTGAGGACAGGATTTCATTTTAAGGTTGAGGTCAGACTTGGGAGAGGAAGATTGGTAGGAGGGCATCTGGCGATAGCCACAAAAACCAATCCATATATCGTAGGATAAAATTTATTAGCAAATATACGACACGTTAAAAGATGCAAATAATCGTGGCGATAATACTGTAGATGGCCTGTTCTATGCAATGTATTTTGTAATAATTTTGTGGGTGGCGACACGAAGAATCGCTCCTCTGTATTCCCCGTGTCGTACGATGCGACTAAAGAGGAGGACGATGGTACGAATCCTGTCACTGCAAAACAAAATCTCTCACAAACGTGCTGGAAGCCTTAAATGTTAGCTATCTTAACAGGCTTAGTGCAGTCCTCAGTTTAAAAAATATCCAAGTGGTAGTTACAGTGTATTTAGAGAATGACAATGCTGTGCACATTAGTTTTTTTGGTGCATCCAGTTGAATGTTAGTTTGGTAGTGTTAGATTATTAGTTAGGAATAAAAGAAAGGAATGCTGATTAAATGGCGAAAGAGGAAAGACATTTACTGCGAGGAGTATGAGGCAAGTGTAATAAATAATGATGAGGAGGAAGATGTTTACAAGTTTGGTGTTTCAATTATATGTTGTTGATAAATAACTATGGAGTGTCTGGGTTGAAATAGACGAGGGATAATGGTAGAACTTCATTCAAACCCTGACAAGTGAACTGATAGTAAAACACTACAAGATAATGAATAATAAAGGGGAATAGGTGACTGACCATGAGAGTGAAATACAAAGGACTGGACTGATAAATACTGTACTATGTGTAAGAAGAGTGTCTTTGTCCCGGTAGTGTTTCCCCTTCCCTCAAAACTGGGGGAGGGACAAGGTGTAAAATTGAGAGGAGAGGGACAGTGTGTATGCCAATCGGCTATTATATAACGATAAAAGTCATGTTCTAGGATTTCATTATGAATAAAAATGACTTTCCTTTCAATTCTAATACAATTTACTTTGAGATAATTTCATGTCTTATACTGTATTTTTGGTCAATTTTGTAGATATGTAGTGTACAGTATACATGTACTGACACCTAGAATAATTCACAGTTTTCTTTTAATTTGGCTCAAATTGGTTGTACTGTAGTTGCATGCGGGGTTGTATTCTCAGAAAATGTCTTGTTAAAACCTTACTATGGATTAGATATCTAATTCTTTGGGTCATTGAGATAGTTATAAAATTTTTATATAAGCTTCTTCCTCAGATTATGTGATGTGATGTTTTATTTTGAGGTGGTGACAATGGCATCTGTAGGGTTAATTTACTGTACTATGTATTTCCACACTCAGGAGAAGGTCATCATATCTGGGCTGATTTACATTAAATTTTAATTGGGTGAAATTGGTGATCATTTAAATTCATACTGATTAATGCAACACTGTATATGAAGGCAAGAGTCTGTAATAGTAGAGGAGTGATGGTTCTGTCCTGGGGCTGCCTTAGTGTTACAGTTGAGGAAGTGAAGGTGGTCGAGTGCAGTGATGGCCACTCTGCCTCCATGTGTTTCAATAAGAGGCCATCCTGCCTCTGTGACCCACTGTTAGTAAGGTGTACAAAAGGATTTTTTTAGCTCATGAACTGTCAGAAAGGCAAGGAGGAGTTTGTAAGATTCAGGCTTTTGGAGGAGTGTGGATAAGGCAGACTGTAGGAGATATATGCTGGTAATAGGATAAAAGTGAGAAAAAATCATAAGAGGAAGTAATTAAAAGGAAACCTGATTGAAACTAAGGTGAGACCTGTACAGACATGAATGACTGACTGGTTGGTGACAAAGTTGAGTAACAGGTTAGATGAAGGTAGGAAATGGTTCAAGTTAGTTATAGGATAAGTACTACAGTATAGTGTGGAGGTGGTAATAATGTTGACATGGTGTAGGAGTGACCACCGTAAGGACATTTTAATAGAGTGGGGAAGTGGTTCATGATGGTACAGTTTCAAGGCGCTGCTACGAGCATATTGAAGGTCATTTATTGAAGAGAAATGGACTAACAATGTATTGAAGACAGAGAATCACACCAAACATCTTCTGTAACGGGGAGGGGGGAGATGATGGGTTACTAAGATGCAGGAGTACAGTGGGAAGAAATTATACGACAAGGAAAAGTTGGATACTGAAATAGGAGGTCGTGGTAAAGTAGGTTTGGGTGAAGTAAAATGGCAGTGTAGCTTGATACAGTACAGCATTAGGGTGAAGTTCCATGTCCTCGGTTAGCATTTATTCCATTGCATATGTTTTTAGACAATGGAGTTGGTTGACGAGAAAAAAAATATATACCCAAATGAATGAGAGAGTGAGTGAATTTTGGTGCATCAAAATCGTCAAGTACATTATGCAAGAAATAGAGAACAACTGCCCAAAGAAAATAACAAAAACGAAGTGATTCATAAGGGCCAATTAGATAAATAAATATATATATACTGTATATGCAAAAAAAAAAAAAAGCTTGAATAATCCAGACTACATGCTATAACTTAAACAAAAGCAACTGAAGAACACAACATCACAATTGTCCCACAAAAGCTGCTGAATTCATGACCTTAATTGGCTCTATGTACAATATGATAACTGAGACTAAATAAATGTCATTCTCTGAGGTATATTTGAACCCTAGTGTGCATGCAGCGTGTATGATAAAAGTTACCTCACACAAGCAGCACATTCCATAAGAGTTAAAAATGTGGTTAAGTGGATCTAAACACATGTGGAGACTAGATAAAGCTAATTCAATCCCTCTGAAAGTTGAAGTAATGTTAGCTAGTTTGTGTTAGGTGATGCCTCAAATTTGGATGAGAGAGTTTCAATTGGAGTTTTCACGAATTACCTGTTTTTCTTAAATTGTGACTGAAGATGTGCTACAGAGTGAGTGAATCAAAGCATTGTAAATACTGTGGGTATCTCTTAGTAGTCAAGTGAATGAATGGCTCTCGAGAACTTAACATGCTTTAGTCTTAACTCGTAAAATATGCACGTAACACTGGAGAGAAAATAACCGGTTAAGTTTACCTGCTGTTAGGAAATGTGGGAGGTTGTGACTACAGATATACAGTCGTGCTATACACCTGTTAGCCAGAGCACCTTATCGTACAGCATTACATCTGCATTGTTTAATTTATCTTAAGTGTTAGGCGGTACGGGTACATACCGTTGTTGGGGATGTGGTTGTTGGCCTGGTCGTGAGCTGGTTGGGAGGCAGGATCACAACAAACTTTGAACACTACTTTCATGTGGTGCGTCGAACATCGCCCACCAATACGACGGTGCAGGTCGTCCTTGCTCGAGGTTGCTGCGGGAAAGACCACGAGCGTTACTACCAAGACCTTGTTCAGCGGGATTTAGTTCAATGTCACACAAGAGGAGGATCAGATGTTCAATGGATAAGTCCTACAGATTAATACAAATGTAGATTTTTTTTTTAAATAAACTATGAGGAAAAAAATTAAGCTAGCAAAAATAAAATTAACATCCAACTTCATATACTTACACAGGTATTATGTAATAAGATCACTGCCGAGAAACAAATTAGAATACTGTAATAGACAAATTCAGGAAACTAAATACAGGTATTGTACTGTAATCATAAAAGTTGTTAAAGCAATGATTTAATAAGACAATAGATCACAGAGTCATCTAAATCATTATGTGAAAATCCGCAACTTACAAATAAAGTAATAGTCCTGGCCGGGGCGGAACTCTAGACCGCCAGGCTGAGGCGTGAAGGAGCGAAAGGTGATGGTGAAGTACATGAGCTTGTATGGCTTGTCACACACGGCGATCACCCGGGGCGAGGGGTTGGTGATCCTACACGTGTCGTACTCCTCCTTGCTCACCTGTAATTAACCAAATATAATTAGCAATTGATGTTAAGTAGAAGTTTATCAATATTCAATGATGTTAAGTAGAAGTTTATCAATATTCAATGATGTTAAGTAGAAGTTTATCAATATTCAATGATGTTAAGTAGAAGTTTATCAATATTCAATGATGTTCAGTAGAAGTTTATCAATATTCAATGATGTTAAGTAGAAGTTTATTAATATTCAATGATGTTAAGTAGAAGTTTATCAATATTCAATGATGTTAAGTAGAAGTTTATCAATATTCAATGATGTTCAGTAGAAGTTTATCAATATTCAATGATGTTAAGTAGAAGTTTATCAATATTCTCCATTTAAATTAGTGCTGAGAGAAGAGAGGGAGAGGGAGGAGGTAGGGAGAGAGAGTGAAGGAAAAGGAAGTGAAAAAGGAAGAGAGAGGAAGTAAAAGATGGAAAGTGGAGAGGAAGATATGATATGTAAATTGGGAAGGGGAAGAGACTGTAAGGAAGGGAGACTGTAAGGAAGAACTCAAGGAAGGGGAAGAGACTGTAAGGAAGGAAGAGACTGTAAGGAAGGGAGAGGAAAGGAAAGAGACTGCAAGGAAAGGGAGAGACTGAAAGGAAGGGGAAGAGACTGAAAGGAAGGACTGAAGGAAGGGGAAGAGACTGAAGGAAGGGGAAGAGAATGTAAGGAAGGGGGAAGAGACTGTAAGGAAGGGGGAAGAGACTGTAAGGAAGGGGGAAGAGACTGTAAGGAAGGGGGAAGAGACTGCAAGGAAGGAAGGACTGAAAGGAAGGGGGAAGAGACTGAAAGGAAGGGGAAGAGACTGTAAGGAAAGGGGAAGAGACTGAAAGGAAGGGGGAAGAGACTGAAAGGAAGGGGGAAGAGACTGGAAGGAAGGGGGAAGAGACTGGAAGGAAGGGGGAAGAGACTGGAAGGAATGGAAAGAGGAAGAAGGGATTGGAAAGACAGGGAAGGGTCGTTAATATTTTAATCCCCTCCTCTACTGTTTCCCCTTCCCTCTGAAACTGACAAAATGGAAGGGGGTGAGAGGGAAGGGGAAGAAAAAAGAAAAGAAGGAAGCAACAATCTTTATTGCTTTCATCCCTTTGTCTCCCTTTCATTCTCTTCTCCCATCCCTTCTGGTTTGGATCTAAAGACATCTGATATAAAAGGCCTGATCCTCGTTGATACAGACCCCCTCCCCCCCCACTCCCCGCCCTTCTGGAAAACTCGAGCATCACCTGAAGGCAAGAAAATGCTCCAGAAAGTTCAAGAGTCTTCTGGGAAGCTTTAGGTATTTCTCTGAACCATCAAAATAGGCTTGGAGCTTACTAGTGGAATCTGAAGCTTTCCCAGAGGCTCTAAACCCTACCAGATAACCCAGGAGCTTATCAGAACCAAGACTCCGACCCGATAGTTTTATAACACAATATGAATTTTCGCCATTCTATCACTCAAGAGGTTTAACCTTTTGTTATTAATAAAATGTATCAACAAACCTTTCATTTTTACTCAGTCAAAACCTAACCTATCCGCATTCCTTCTACCTGTCCTTACAACACTCTCCTCACCTATCCTCATTCCTTCTACCTGTCCTTACAACACTCTCCTCACCTATCCTCATTCCTTCTACCTGTCCTTACAACACTCTCCTCACCTGTCCTCATTCCTTCTACCTGTCCTTACAACACTCTCCTCACCTATCCGCATTCCTTCTACCTGTCCTTACAAAACTCTCCTCACCTGTCCTCATTCCTTCTACCTGTCCTTACAACACTCTCCTCACCTGTCCTCATTCCTTCTACCTGTCCTTACAACACTCTCCTCACCTATCCGCATTCCTTCTACCTGTCCTTACAACACTCTCCTCACCTATCCTTGTGTTGAAGTCACCTGTTAATGAACTCTCACCCACCTTACCCCACATATACACCTGGCCAAATACCTTTCACCCTCCTTAATTGACGTACACATTTTAGTAAAAAAAAATCTGATTATTTCCTTCAGACTCTTCCATTTACTAATACTTAAAAAAATATAGTTTGAGAGAGCGAAAAAGAGAAATATATAGATATCAATGGTGTACATGATATATTAAAGGTGTACATGATATATTAAAGGTGTACACTGAATATTATAAGTGTACACGATATATCAAGAGGTGTACATGATATATTAAAGGTGTACACTGAATATTATAAGTGTACACGATATATCAAGAGGTGTACATGAACTGCCAAGTCCTCACAGCCACTACTAATGGAGATGACTTAGCGGTTATATAGCTGTCGACGTATTGCATTACACAGCAGATAAAACCTAGCTTTTGTCTGTGGATGATACGCAGGAGTGGTGGAGTGATGGAGTGTTGGTGGTGTGATGGAGTGTTGGTGGAGTGATGGAGTGTTGGTGGAGTGATGGAGTGTTGGTGGTGTGATGGGGTAGTGAAAGGTATGTAAGTGTATGTATGTGTGTGTATGTATGTGTGTGTGTAATCCAATCTCAGGACCTCACGCCATCCCATCCACTTTCCCTTCCTTACTACACTCATTATAGTTGGAGATGGAATGGAAAGTGGAAGAGATGGAATGGGAGAGGAGAAAATGTAAAGCGTAGGGGAGATAAAGTAAAATGGATGGGGTTAAAATAAGGTGAAGGAGGAGATCACCATATATGCTCTCCTCTCCCAGCCACAGTTCATGACGTCACTAATACGTCACAACTATGGCCCCCCAAAAGACAGACAGACAGACAGACAGACAGACAGACAGACAGACAGACAGACAGACAGACACATTTTTTAAGTGAAGAAGACAACGTGAGGGGACATAAACAAGATTGTCCCTGTTGTTGCCCTTCTAAACAAAACCTCCTCACTCACAAACACCCATCAGTCAGATAAGTGTGTATATAATGAAATAAAAGATGGCGGGCAGGTAGAGGTTTAAGGAAGCTTTTAGCATTACTCACGAATGACTTTCTCCCAGCCAACATCACGCCCATCCTCAATACCCTTTTTCAGGTATGTGTGTGCAAAGAGAGTTGACTACCACGTCACAACACACACACACACACACACACACACACACACACACACACACTAGATCATGTGAGGAAAAATAGTGAAAAAATACTAACTGGGATAAAATTTGGAGCCATGACAAATAACACCAGATATTAACAGTTTTATGTCCTCCCCTCACCCCCTCCGCCCTCCCCTGCCCTCACCCTCCTCTATCCCTCATCCTTCCTGCCCTCACCCTCCTCACCTCCTCCCTCCCACTCTCCTGACTTACACATCTCATTCCACCTCGACCTCCCCGCCACCCCAAAACTTTCACACATGCTCCTCTGATGCTCCTCCGATGCTCCTCTTATGCTCCTCTGATCTCACCAGGATGTTTGTATCTGCAGGAGGAAAGCTAAACGGGTGTGGTGGTGTAGCTGGAGGGAAGGATGTGGTAGGTGTGGTGTGGGTGGAGGGAAGGATGTGGGATGTAGAAGTAGAGGTGGTGGTGTGGCTGGAGGAAGGATGTGGTAGGTGTGTGGTGTGGCTGGAGGGAAGGAAGTGGGATGTAGTAGTTAAGGAGGTGGTGGTGTGTGTGAGTGAAGAAAAGCATCACCTCAGGCACAGGTAGAGGAAGGGGAGAGGGAGGATGGGTGGGCGGCTCCTTCCTGTACCCATCACCTCCACCACCCACACCTTTACTTTCCCCCACACCACATCACTTTTTTTTTTGAGAACTCCCCACGAAATTTCACCCTTCCTTCCTTCTCTCTCCTATCATTCTTTCCTATCTATCTTCATTTCCATTCTCCCAACGTCCTATTTCTCCTCATATTTATTCTCCATACCCCCTTCCCACCTTCCTTCCCGCTACACTCACCAGCCCGGGTCAGCTTCTCCAGTGGGGGGTTAAAACCAGGTCATCACACACACACTCACCTCACATTATCTCACCGTGTGTTTGCACTGGTCATGGAAACTCGAGGCATAGTAGACCTCCAAGTTAGGATTAAGCCCAACTCTTCATAATCACGCATTGTTACCTCTAAACCCCTGAGTACACAAAGAGGGGGGCTAGCACAGAGGTACAGTTAACAGAAGTACAGTTAACAGAGGTGCAGCAATACGGTTACAGTTAACAGGAGGTATAACACAGAGGTACAGAACAGGGGGGCAGTTAATAGGTATAATTACAGGTAAGTAGTTAACAGGGGGACATGAAGTAACAGGGGGTACAAGCAATACGGCAAATACGGGGTTACAGTAAACAGCAGAAATTTTTCAATAGGCGGGGTACAGTTAACAGGGGTATAGTTAAAAAGAATAACAGGGGGTATAGTTACAGGAATTATAGTTAACAGGGGTACAGTTAACAGAGGGAATAGTTAACAGTATAGTTAACAGAAATTATAGTTAACAAGTACAGCAAATTATAGTTAACAGGGAAGTTAACAGGAACAATTAACAGTTAACAGAGCACAGTTAACAGGGGGTACAGTTAACAGGGGGTACAGTTAACAGGGGTACAGTTAACAGAAATTACAGTTAACGAAATGGAAATTTAGTTAACAGAAGTACAGTTAACAGGGTACAGTTAACAGAAATTACAGTTAGCAGGGGAATTATAGTTAACAGGAAATTATAGTTAACAGGGGTACAGTTAACAGAATTATAATAGTTAACAGAATTTATAGTTAACGAGAGTACAGTTAACAGAATGCAGTTAAGAAATTATAGTTAACAGAACAGTTAACAGAAGTACAGTTAACAGGGGGGTACACAGTTAACAGAGGTACAGTTAACAGGGGGTACAGTTAACAGGAGTACAGTTAACGGAAATTGCAGTTAACGGAAATTACAGTTAACAGGAGGTACAGTTAACGAAATTACAGTTAACAGGGGGTACAGTTAACAGGGGGTACAGTTAACAGAGGTACAGTTAACAGATGGTGGGGGTTTCGTCACAAATTCACCTCATCGCGTACTAAGTGAATATTATCTGGTCACTCAAAGTTACAGATCTTATATATTCATGTATTCTCCAAGCGCCGTTGTACTGTACATCTGGCGTTACAGTGTGTACCAGCTGTTTGATTATAAGTTATTAATGCCACTATTACCGGCTATCCTCCTCCCCCTCCCAAATAGGTCTGTTACGTATGGTCAATATGCCAGCAGAAGCTAAAATATCTTGAAATAGAGAAATGTCTTTTAAAATATTTCCACCATCAACCAACCAATCAGAATGTAAGAAATTGTACATTAACAACCCAGGAAATTAGGTTATAACTCATGAATCTTTGGTTGTAGGTCAAGTTGTGGATGAGGAGAGGAAGCACACGAACTTAGCACCATGTAAACACTGACTCAGATGTTTAAGAACTTCAAGGTGTTATGTTAAAGGTGGAGTTTAATCAGGAGGTATCTTAGTAGTTGTTAATATCTCCCATTTCACCTGATACCTGAGTGATTAGTGTTTTTGTAAAGTACTTTGATGGGAGTAAATAATCAATACACACACACACACACACACACACACACACACACACACACACACACACACACCTCTCTCTCAGCTGTTGAAATAGCTCACTTCTCTCAGCTCCTGAGATCGGGGTCAACGTGACTCGATGACCTTTGAACCTATTAACCTTTGACTTCAGGATGCTGAGAGAGAGAGAGAGTGCATGAACGTGTGTGTGTGTGTGTACCATTCCTCGCTGATTACTCGTTCTGACGTACAGGTGTGATTCGGCTGGTTTCTACCTGTCTAAACACACTGCCGCTACCTGTCTTACCTGATGCAATTAGTCAATGGAATGATATGTGTGTGGCGGAGGAAAGGAAAGTGCAAAAGGTGCTATTGTGTGTGTGTGTGTGGGGGATGAGTTGAGGTGTGATTAACTAAATTATTATTGTTGTTGTTATTATTATTACAATACATGTATCAAAAGTAATAAACTCAATTAAAAAAAGACAACACGACTTGAGTTCTATATATTACCTTTTATGATCAACCAATCAGAGAAGGATTGCAATACCTTCATTTTGATTGGCTGTGACAAAAAGAAATAATATTATTAAGACATACGACTATTCAATCACCATGACATATTTCCCCACGTTAATTATCTCCACCTATCTTATTCCTTCCTTCGTTATGGCACAGGAACGAAAGGACGAAAGAGAAAGAGAGAAAATGGTAGGTGTAGTAAGTGACAGGAAGAGTGAACACACACACACACACACACACACACACACACACACACACACACACACACACACACACACACACACACACACACACACACACACACAGTTTCGTCTCACCTCCTCCGCAAACTCAAGTCCCTCAGGTTCCTGCACCAGAGCTCCTCAGTGTTTTACACAACATTCATACTTCCCAAGCTCACCTATGCCTCCCCACCTGGTCTTCCTCCTAAATGCCACACAACGTAAACACCTAGAAAAGTGCAAAGAGGGCATGCAAGATTGTCTCTCCCCTTCTACTCCACATATAAAGGCGCTCAACACACTGACCCCTTTCGACTCTCACTGACCACTCACCACGACCTCATCTGCAAATTTGGTGAAGCCTACACCATCCCCGACACCGGCCCCTACTACCACCTGAGACCCTGTCCAAAATTGCTGTTCGACACCACAACCGCATCCAGCCCATACGTGCATGAACTGATCGCTATAAGAACAGCCCAGTCCCAACCATTGTAAAATTATCAATAACATGTAATAAATCAGTGTATTCACTCCCCAGAAACCTGCTCCCTACACTGTCACTATGTTGGAAATGGACTGTATTTTGAGCTGATCCCCATCTAAGTTACTATATGTCTTATTTGTGTCACTTATGTCATTTTATATTATTTGTAATTATTTAAATATGTAACTGTATATTTTATTAGCTCTTCAATAAACAGATAATTATTATTATTACACACACACACACACACACACACACACACACACACACACACACACACACACACACACACACACACACACACACACACACACACACACACACACACACACACACACACACACACACACACACACACACACACACACACACACACACACACACACACACACACACACACACACACACACACACACACACACACACACACACACACACACACACACACACACACACACACACACACACACACACACACACACACACACCTACCTCCTAGCCCCCGAATGTAATATGCTTAAGTTTACCATCACAATGATCCATTTTCTGTGGTATAATGTCATGTTTATATTCCTGCCTCACTTAGTCTTTATCAGTGGTTCGTATTATAGTAGTTTGTGAAGAGATATTGCTCAGTCTTCCCTCCCTCCTTCCTCCCATCTCTCTTCCTCCTCCACTTCCCCTTCCCTCCTTCAGCTACCCACCTCTCTCTTTCTCTGTTCCACCTTGCTTCCTCCATCCCTTCCTCCCTCCTCCTCCTCTCCTCCCACCCCATCCCCACCTCCTCCCCCTCTACCCTCTAGCCTTCCATCCAGCAACTCCCCATCCTTCCCACCCCACCTCTCTCTCTCCTACCTACCTATCCCTCCCCCCCCAACACTAAGGCCGCAGTGTAACTTTGGGATTTGGGGAGATTACCTCTGCTCTCACTCGACGCTGTTAATGCCCTGTGACTCTGGCATTAATTGTTAGATGAAGGACGCGGCGAGGAGGAGGAGGAGGAGGAGGAGGAGGAGGAGGTGGTGATGGTGTAGGAGGAAGAGGAGGAGGAGTGGTGATAGTGTAGGAGGAAGGGGTGGTGGACCGGTAGTGGATGGTGGTGTAGGAGAGGAAGGAAGGGGTGGTGATGGTGGTGGAGAGGAAGAGGAAGAGGGTGTGGAGAGAGTGGAGGTGGGGTGAGGTGATGGAGAAGGAGGGTGGTGTAGGTGGAGGAAGAGATGACGAAGAAGATAATTAAGAATGAAAAGAAGAAGGAATGGAAGGAGGAGGAGGAAGAGACGGTGAAGAAGAAATAAAAGTACGAAAGGAAGGATAAGGCGATAGGGAGACAGGGAACATCACAAGGGAAATAAATACGAAAACAAATGAAAGAAATACAAAAACGAGAGAGAGAGAGAGAGAGAGAATTGTTGAGTTCCGTTACAGTCAGATTGTCTTAATGATCAAGTTGAAATAAGCTGGGGTGCCTAATGATCAGGTGAAATAAGCTGGGGTGACTAAGCAGTCGAATGAAATAAGCTGGGGTGACTAATGATCAGATGAAATAAGCTGGGGTGCTAATGATCAATTTGAAATAAACAGCTCAGTCGTTGAAATAAAACAGGGTGGTCAGGAAATGCCCACCCTCCCCACTTGCCCTCCTCCCTACCCACCCCCACCTCACCTTGCCTCCCTACACCCCACCTGCCCTCCCCTACCCACCTTGCCCACCACACCCCTCCCCTTCCCTCCCCTTGCAATAACTCACACGCACCTCGAGTACCACTTAACCCCTCCCTCTCGAGTACGACACCTCAAACACGACCTCTCCTCCTCCATACATCATCAAGGACGAGGTTAAGTGGTATAACTCAAGCAGGAAGCACTCCAGTTGTACTTGTGTCTGTAAGGATGTACTTCTGAAAAGTGATACTATAATTCCATGTTACTAAAGGGGTATGTACTCTGCCACAAGCAATGTACTCACGAGGGATATGTACTGTAGCTCAAGTACTGTACTTCTAGAGGAGTAATTACTATACCTCAGACCCTGTACTCACGAGGGAAAGTACAGTACTCTAACTCAAACCATGTACTCACGAGAGGTAAGTACTCTAACTCAAACCATGTACTCAGATGTCTCCACCCCACACTTCTCCGAGAGTAGTCCAACCAAACCATTTACAGAGTATCCTACAAAACCCCTCCAGGGTATACAATTGCCACGAATGCATCTCCCACCACAAACCCTGTACTCACGAATGATAAGTACTCTTAACTCAACCCCTATACTCACAAGGGATAAATACAGTACTCTACCTTAATCCATATACTCAACAAAGAACAAGTACTCAACCTCACACCCTGTACTCACGTTATAGATGATGTACTTCTCAGCATCGTCCTCTGTAGTATCTTTGTTATACACGGGACAGATGATGTTCACTTGGTCGTACTCAAAGGGGATGTTTCCTTTGTTGACGTCGATGATGTGATCAGTATTGTCTATTCGGAAGCTGTGGGA